TTGTAAGTAAGTGGAGGGTAGTTGGAGGGTAGTTTGGGTATTCTTCTGAATAGAATATTTGTGACAGCCTTTATAATGGGGAAGTTGGTCAGAGGTGTGGCATTCTGTTTTGCCAGTTTGAAAAGGAGCGTCAGCTCTCTAGGGAGAGAACCAGCCTCTCGAAAGCTGTGTAACCATTGTATTCTTTCTTTTCTTTACTCAATTCAATAAGAAAGCTACCGACAACAATCAATTTGCATCACCATGCAGAGCTAGACATCTCTTAGAAATCCAGTCACCACACTTGTCTACTCAACCATGCATCAACTTGAAATTGCAAATGAATTCACAACATGATAATAGGTAAGGGATGCCTCATTTCCATTTCGTTATATCTTTAACATTACTTTCTCATACAAAAATAAACAATACCATAAGCATATTATATCAATCTACCTTAAGTGTAGACCACAGATTACCCCATATTTGCACTTTGTTGATTTTCTCTTCCAGTTCTTGACATAAACATTTAAAAAATACCATAATTACCCATGGAAAGAAATTTCCACTTCCATGCAGGTATTTGACCTGTTTCCCATAACCTGTCACTTCATTTTTTAAGTTATCAAGTACTGGATACAGAACAGCAGGTTCTAACATTTTAAGATCTCAAAGGTGTCGACTTGTGGTTGAATGTATATTAGATCATAGATAGTTTAAATTCATAATCAGATTAGTCGAACCTGAATTGCATTCTGCATGGAACTGAAATCTTGAAATTCAACAAAGCCAAAACAGAATCCCAGCTGCTGGTCAGATGGCAAACTAACATTATTTCAATATACATTAAAGCAATTATCACAAACACTATGTGTGTCAATTAGATGAACAGACCTTGTTACTTCTGACTTGGATACCTCCTTGCTTAATAGGTCCAAATTTCTTAAACTCCATCTCAAGCTGAGATACTGTTGCATTTAGAGGCAAATTCCGGATATATATGGAATGACCATCACCTACATGAAGTAAACTATAGCTGAGAACAGATACGAGAAATATAAGTCCATGGAATATAACAAAAACCAACTGGCCCAAGCATCTATTGTATCACATCAAATGGCTATGGTGACAAATAAATATATATGAAGCTTTGTCAAAAAAAAAAAAAGAAGAGAAATCGGTGACTTAACGTTAATAGCATATACCTTCATTGTGAACATTGCTACTATCAGGAGAACTAATGCTACTCGAGGCAATAGGTGCCGGCACTTCTGGTGGTGGACCTTGTGCCACAGTAGCAACTGATATATTTTCAGTTTTTGCAGGAGCTGTTCTTAAAGTAGGAACATAAACTTTAGTAGGCCCTGGGCCCCCCTTCTTTGTCTGTGAACTTAGAATTGATGCATAAGACATTTTTGGAGCATCTTCCACAGCAATAGAAGATATAGATTCTGCCACCGACGACATGTTGTTCTCACTTGGATAGGGTTCAGGTTCCACTGAATTATTTTCATTTGCTAAAAGTCCCTCATTTTCCGTAACATCTTGGGCTTCTTCCTCGACATTTTGAGTTTCTTCTTTATGAACACTAGCAAGGTCTGGCGATGGAGAATCAATTGTGCGAGGAGGATCTGGAAACAGCAATGTCAAACAAATGTGTCAAAATATCTGCCTAGTAAATGTAAAGATTGATCAACGAAACGCAAACATAGATAAAACTGCACCTGCGATCAAGGGTGGTGTTTGCTTATCGTCTATCCCCTCAACCACCACATAATTGTCCTCCATTGGCTTGCTTTCATCTACATACCTGAAAACATCATTAAGCACAAAATAACCCTTGTCTTGTGGGGCAAGGAAAAAGCTTTGTATGAACTTCCTTCTTTGGTCATCCTCCTTCCTGGTTAAGCTTCCAGTTACCAAAACAATCACCCCATCCTTGTAAGACTCCTGAGCATCAGCCGTCTTTATCTCAGCCTTGTAGGCAGTGTAATCCAATGAACATATTTTGTCATTGATACCCTGCTCCAGGAAGAACAAGACAACAAATATTATATGGTTATACCCGATATTGGTACCACTATCATTGCTCTATAAACTCACTTTTGAACAGCAACTAATTCCCCATTGGTTTTTGGTTACGTTGGAAGTTGGGACAGGTGTTGCTTGTGTGTGTTTGTTATCAAAACTATAGTGATTAGCAGTAGCAGATCGCTTTATCACCAAAGTGGTAGGATATTAAACTAGAAGGGAGTAGAGATACGCGTTTAAAAATTCAATTAATCAGTGGACAATGACAGTAACAAAAAATGAATGATCAGAAAAATTAAGCCCAGTTAAGTTTAAGCCTATGTCTCCATTTAAAACCATTTCAGCAGACAAGATTTATGAAGATCGAAGGCAACTTAATCACAAATTAATGCTTTTTGACTTGCTAGGCTAGCTTAAAGACGTATATATTTCTTTTCACTCTACACCCTTGTAACTTATACCATACTATAATCCACACCCTGACCTATATTCTATTTGCACAGACAATTCCTTATCTATTAAAAAACCACCAGCATAGCACCTCATTTTTAAGAAGACTAACATCAAACTTACAAGCTTATAATTGCAGCCTTTATGAAAGCTCCAAGTAATTTATCAGATGATCATAGAGTGGCTCGATCACCTTTTTACACAACTCTAAACCAAAAGAAAACTCCATATCCCCAAATCTAGAAGCAAATTAATGATTATACATCCTATAAAGTTGCTGCTGTTCTCGATAATTCTAGTTCATGTTCATAAAAAAACCATCACCAAAACTATTTGTCATATTCCTTCTATCCAAAAATAAAAGAAAATTAAAGGCAACGTATCTTTTTTCAGTAAACTGTTATTCAAATTTACCAATTTATCCATTAGTAATTATTACAAGGCACTGATATTAATTTTGGTCCACCAGTTTTCTCAGAATCTGCATTTTGTCATTAGTGAGGGGGGTGGTTTTATGTATCTGATTATAGTCAAAGACATAAATAAAACTATGTGCCAAGTGAAACATTGCCTTACTTTGAGACAAAGGGAATATCTTTGTTTGTAATAATCACATCTAGCTTTTAAAAATCTGTCAGACCCAAACCACCACCACCAAACATGTTTCCTCTAGCCTCATCAGAGGACCAATGGAATGGTTGAAGTCCAAACATACCCAACAGAATATAACACCCTAAATATAGAAAGTCAATGCTACATGTGGGTAGCTGAAAATACCATGCATCAGAATAAGAAAAAGGGTAGACGCCACCCTCTAAAGCTCCCCCGCCGCACCTGTCCCACAGCCATCGCGGAAAGGCAAATCGCGCATGCATCTCATTGGCAGATGAGTGGTGCCCGGGCTCAAACCCGGGACCTCACTCATGCATTAGAATAACTTAAGGCACTAACTATTTTTTTCTAATCTAAATGGAAGTGTTGATGTTGAATTGTTGATAGTATTCCAACCAACTTCACAAGATGTATGTATGAAACAAATTAAGCTATGTTCATCATTATTGTCATAGAAAAATTATGCATAATCAATGTCCAGACAGGATGCAAACAAAAGACTCCTTTAAGAACGCAAAACTGACTATTTTGGAGTACATTCGCTCTTGAAAGATTCAGTGTTGCAAGTCTGCCCATAATGATGCATTGTGCTCATCATTCATGAAACTGAACTCCGTAGAACATAGACTAATTGATAGGATTTCTTTTTCCGTACACTTGCAACTCGTGATCATTTTACAGGGCTGGATTATATTAGGTGTTATCATAATTTTCAGGTAAAATATTCAAATAGCAAGTATAATTCTAATACCTTGTGGAAAAGACTACCAAGGTTGAGACAACTTACTTTCATTGTAGTCACAGTTATCATCGTACCATCTTCGTCCGGCCGGCTTATGAAACTTGCGTCCTGATAAAATTTGTGAACCATATTTGGGGAGTGATGAAGTATGTGGTAGTACTGCTCGACAAAGGCATTGCCAACCACTTGTACGCTAGGAGTGGTTGATGGAGCTTCAGTTTGTGTTGCCATTCTAATGAAATGTAACACCATGAAAAAACTATTAGTGACAATTTAACAAAAAAGACAGACATTGGATGGATCTGATTGGAAGAAGCATATTCATTGTGTAAGCATATATAACAAAAGTAAAAGTGACCATGAGAACAAAATAATTGTGCAATCATTATGTAGAAACATAAAAATAAATGTAGATTCCAATGATTTGTATTAAAACTAAAACAATAAGCACACTTCACATCAACATCAATTAAATGAGATTAAAGCTTATTCTAGACATGAAATAAATGGATATTTTGATATGTCTTGCTATTACTCAAAACATAAGCAAAAGGAAAGCAGTTAATAGAAATTCCAATAGGCAAACCACCTTTACATTACAGCATTAGCTCGTATATGCAGTAGTATTTACAAAATAGAAGGTGCAATTCAAATTCATTTTACAGCGCCTTAATTGCAGACAGACTTGTGTATCCACACAAGAATACAAGATGCAACACCTAAAATTGACATTCCTATACCAACCTTTCAAGTTTACGAATGAGAGATGATAAAATGGGAAATCTAAGGCTACCATCAAGCCATGAGCATGAAAATTATATGATTCGCTGATCTATGAAAGTACATATCTATGATACTTGGAAAAGTCAACAGTATTTTCATGTGTTAGATAGCAGGAAGGTTTCTTAGAGTTTAGTTTTATTTCTTAAAGAAACCATAATTGGAATGAGGATGCATCAGCATCTCTCACTCAGACACATGAAGCACAAATGACTAAAATCACTCTATCTTGCCACATATTTATATTTAAGAACATTGCAAAATCTTCTTTCCTTGATATACGTCTCGAATTCCGCTCATATGTGGATACACAGAAGAAATGCAGATGCTTGGGGTTAGGCTTATCGACCACAGCCTTACACTTCATCACCAGTCAATACAGATAGTTTTGGTCAGGCCAGCTTCGCCTTATCCCAATAGCCCAGGCTTACCCTTTTAAGACTTAAGAGACGGTGAAAAAAAACTTTTTTTTCATTATAGACTTATGCCTTGGGAGCGTAGGGTTATTCCCTTCACAAGCAGTGGTTCTTCATTGTTTCTTGCCTATATTTGTATCTTATGGATCAGTTAAGAGACGCCTAATAGAGCTTATTCAGAGAGTTACTGAGGAAATACTAATGCAGCATAGTTTGACAGTTCATCATCAGCAGCAATCTCCGTTTCACACATTGAATTCCTCTCCTCCCTGTGGTTTTTCCTCAAAGATTGCCAGGTAAATCTGGTAATTTACTCTTGTTTTCTAATTTTTGTTGGATTACTCGTTCACTTAATTCAGCATTTGCTATATTCATAACAGTTTGAATGAAACTAATTCATAATATACAAAAAAAAACATGTACAGTTAATCATCCCGATGCATGAAATCAACAAAACACAAGCAGCTCAAATTCAGACGATATCACACTAGATCCAGCCACAGCTGAACACATAAATCCAACAAATTTAAAGTAAATAAAAACATAAATCGCAACTACGGGCTTAAGAACAACAGCAACATCACAATGCTGATAACGCGAATAACTTAAAATCGACAGTGAAAACATTTAAGCAACGAGAAAATACCGCGAATCATATGCAATTAATAACTCGTCTAGTGAAATCAAAACCCTAAATAGTAATATTCGTGGTTTAAATAATCGAGAAAACAAATGGTAAATTAACAGATTGGAGTTACCTTTTCGTTATCGAATCTTTCGGATGACGATGAAGATCAACTGATGTTCTTGATGGGATGATCAAACAATAAAAGTAAGCTACCTGCGGAGTGATGATATGTGTTGCAGCTGGGCTTTTGGGACGAGTAACGAGTTTTCTAGGTTTGTTCTTTGATGTTCTAAAAGAATATTACATCTTAGTACTCCAAGTTTGATAAATTACGTGTTGGTCCCTCGGTCGGGAAAATAAATAATTAGATCAAAACCCGTTACAAATTGTTAGAACATTTTTAATAGATTTTCAGTAATCTATTTATGCTATATTATAAAGTATTTGACAAGAACTCTTACAAACAATTTTTTATATATGTAGTACTATTGTTTATTAATATATATTACTTAAAACTCATGATTACAAGTAATTGTGTATAAATACAACTTATTAAAGTTTCATTTTGAATTCGTGTAACTAACTGCAGATAAACATAATCAAATAGAGGATAAACATTTAGTTTTAAATATAAAAAATTTAAAATATAATTAGGATAATTATTATGTACTAAGATAATACTTAATTGTTATTTTTTTTAAATATATTATTAAATCAAAAATAAATTATTTTAAATCTAATAAAAATTGAATAATAAAAAAATTACACAAAAGATAAGAAATTTTTTAATAGTTAATTATTAATATCGATATATACTTTTTAAAAATCTTATAATATCTTCAAAATTATATTCTATTCAAAAATAAAAACATTATCATTTTTTCAAAACCACATAAAACTGTATTATAACATTGACATGAGACAAAATAAAAGAAACATTAAAATTGAGATGGATCTTGTTGTATTAATCGAGTACTCTTCTAGTTTCTTTAAACATAATCATATGTTGAAATATTTAAAAAAATATTGTATTTCATGTTTTTTTTTGATGACTAAATATATTAAATAATAATTAAAAAATAATTGATATGATTAATAATAATTTTAAATAATTAAAATTAATGTATAATATATTATTAAATTTTTTTAATAATTTTCAATTAATGTTTATTGATAATTAATATACTAAATAACAATTACTACTAATCAGTTATTATTGAAAAAAGTGTCAAAAAAGTTAATAAAACATACTTTAAATAATGTTTCAGTAAACTAGCTTATAACGTGTTTTTTATCCATCCAAAAGACTTTTGAAATAAGCTCAAAAAAGAATTTAATTTATATTTACATAACATAACATTTATCTATACTGTATTATAAAGCATTAGAAAAAAAACTCTTAAAAATATTTTTTATGCATAAAGTACTGTTTATTGATACATATTACTTAAAATTCAAGATTACAAGTAGAATGTGTGTGGGTATATTTATACTATATTATAAAGCATTTGACAAAAACTCTTAAAAACCACTTTTTATGCGTAAAATACTGTTTATTAATGTGTGTTACTTAAAACTCAAGATTGCAAGTAGATTGTGCATAAGTACAACTTATTAAAGTTTCATATCTGAATTCGTGTAACTAACTGCAGATAAACATAACCAAATACAGGATAAACATCTCATTTTAAATATACAAAATCTAAAATATAATTAGGATAATCATTAAGTTATAACATAATACTTAATTATTATCTTTATAAAATTTATAACATTAAACAAAAAATAAATTATTTTATTATTAAACTTAAATTAAATTATAATAAAAAAAATTATATAAAAAATGAGAACTTTTAAATAGTTGATTTGATGTTAACATTGATATATTTTTTTCAAATTTTTATTATATTTTCAAATTTATATTTTATTCAAAAATAAATCATTATCGTTTTCTTAAAAACACATAAAATCGTATTATAACATCGATAGAGACAAATAATAAAATAGAACATTAAAATCAATATGTGTTTCGCTACATTGCGCGAGTACTCTTCTAGTCTTATTAAAACTCTATGTTTGAATTCGTAAACATAATCAAATACATGATAAACATTATTTTAAATATAAAAAATATAAAATATAATTAGGATAATCATTGAATTCTAACAGAATACTTAATTATTATCTTAAAAATTATTTTATTAAACAAAAAAAAAATTAGTTCGTGGTTAAACTTCAATTAAATTAAAATAAAATTTTGAATTAGATAAATTACACAAAAACAAAAACTTTTAAATAGTTAAATTGATACTAATATCGATTATCTTTTTCAAACTTTTATATATCTTCAAATTTATATTGTATTAAAAAATAAATATATTTTCGTTTTCCTAAATCCACGTAAAATCGCATTATAACATCGATAGAGCCAAAATATAAAACGACACATTAAAATCAAGATGTATCTCGTTACATTGCGCTAGTACCCTTCTAATATAACATAATAATATTCTTTCTTGTTTTTATAAGGGGTGGGAAAATACCAATATAGACAGACAAAATCAAATATTTGTATGATTGTATTGTATCAGATTCAACAATACTGGTTTGGTTCTTGATTCTAACTATTTTTAGTTCGATATTTTTTTTTACCACAAAAGGGCTATCTCCATTTTCTTTTGGATAGTAAAATGACTAAATTGCCCTTTTTATGATTTACAAACTAAATGTCGTTGAATTTTTGAAGATGTCATATTACGAATTGTAAACTTCAATTCGTTGGAAACAGTGGTCTTTGGAGTCATGTGCAGCTCAATTGATGACCTTAGGTTGTGGGTCCTCGTACCAATGGTTTGTATCAAACGTTTCATTACAGATATGATATGGGGAGACAATTGTATCTGAGTTTTCTTGTAGGTTAGCAAGTCCCCTTTTTTTCTGCTATGTAATGATTAATCCCGATGTTATTTCCATAAAACACTTGACAACAGAATTCAAGTGGTCCACTGTAAATATTCACAAAAAAAGTCTCGCCCTGGAAAGGCCTGGTTTTGATAAGCTAAGGTCTAGACCATGCAAAAAAAAGAACTCGATCGAACAAAGCAATCTTTTTCAAGATTCGAATAAAAGCTCAATTTGGAAAAGCATGGATCCAGGGGCGGAGCTAAGAATTTAAGTTAAGGGGGTTTGACAATCGTACTTTATTGTAGAACAACAACGATAAATATACCAAAGGACCATTGGCCTAGCGGTATCGTAGTCTTTCGCCTCTTAGGAGGTCAGGGGTTCAAACATCACCAAAAGTGAGGAGGGTGTGAGTTTATTTGTTGCATTTGGCGTATATAAAAATTATATACTTAAAAGAAAGGGTAAATGTTGTTGTTTCTATTAATCTTATAAAATCATTTTATGACGAAGGAAGTATTTTGAGACGGGTATGTATCTGTTTTATGGGGAAAAAAAATCCGAGCAGCATTTTCAATGAACGTTGAGTGAAAATCGAAGTGCGTATTGGCAGGAGAACATCAACGGTATATCCTATATCAGGATACTAAAGTCATGCCGGTGTTCGGTCCCCTTTTGTAGGTATTAATCTTACATATTCGAGTCTTGCTTTCCAAATACGCAACCCAAAGCCTTCAGTTACGTAATCTTATCCCATCACCGATTAGTTGTAATTTTATTTCGTTTTATTATATCTTGATTTTTTTGTTTCGCAAAACAATTGAAAAACGATTACACGAGTTTCCATTTCCATAAATACTATTTCTAAATTGCATCCAAATAATTATCATGAAGTTCATTTTTTGTCCTAGCGGTATGTGAGTCATTGACCTCTTGGGAGGTCAAGAATTCAAACCTCACCAAATGTGAGAAGAGTGTGTGAGTTTATTTGTTCTATTTATCATATATAAATATTATATACTTAAAAAAACGAAAGTAAACGAACGAATGTTCACATACATAAATGAACGAATGAGACTACTGTTCATGTTCGTTCGTTTAACTAAGAAACAAACTTTTTGTTCATGTTCGTTCATTTATTAAAGAAACAAACTTCCCGCTGAACGGTTCACGAACGATTCGCTGAACGTTCTGTTCGTTTACAGCCCTACCCGTATCAATTCCATTTTCACACCTAAATCCCCAACCCTACTTTGCTCAAGCCCATTTTCAAAACATCAAGTAGATGAATAAGAATCTTAAGAAGAAAGCTTTCGAAATCTCTTTTTTTTTTCGCTTGCTACAAACGGGCTTGAAAATGCCCAAGACAAGAAAAGCCCGACCCAAGAAGCACTCTTCCTTCGGTTCTTACTTCCAACTCAGACCAATGGTACCATATGAACGTTTTTAAATCTATATAAAATCAAGTTGTTAGTTCGAAATCTAACAACGATAGGGATTTTTGATCGATGATGGCAACTCCGTCTGTGTTGATTGCATACCTTTCTCTTACATATTAAAATATTAAAAAATTAAAGGTTATTACAGTAAAAACTCACTTGTCCAAGTTAAATTGACCTGTCAAACCGTCAATCCATTATTAATGATCACGTCGAATCCTATTATCATTGTATGTACTAACTTTTGCTATTAAGTGTACAAAATTCATATAAAACGTCTCCTACAACAGATACAACTATAAACCAACAATAGAAAAGCTTAAAATGGTTTAGACATGGCCAAAAACCGGTGGATAATTCGAGCTGGGCTGGGTCCAAATCGGTTTTGAGTTGAAACAGTAACAATCCATACCGGATCCGATCCCGTTGAAAATACTAAGGCTCGATTAAGGGTACTTATAACCTGTTACGGTAAGCGGTTCCGGTCCTGGACCAGGCCCAAACCGATCCTATATTAAAAAAAACATTTTCTTTTTATATTTTTTTGATAATTTTTTTAAATACTTTAATGTTATTCTAATACACTTTAAAATATTTAATTAGGTCAATGAAATACATTTAAAAAATACGTTTTATTCAGTTTTATAATTCGTTTTCAATCAAATGCACTTAAAATTACGTTTTATTATAGTTTTATAATTGATTTTTAATCAAATACACCTAAAAATATGTTTTTATTGTAGATTTGTAATTCGATTTTCAATCAAATACACTTAAAAAATACTTTTTTCGAAAAAAAAAGATCAGACAGGTCCCTGACCGAGCCTTCTTTTTGGATGAAAACCATAACCAGTCCTTAACCGGCGGTCCCAAACCGATCCCAATCGATTCT